GCTAGAAGATGACGCTCAGAGCCTAGCTCTCGAGATTTGAAGCATCCGAAAGTACCCCACTGTTCACAGAAGGGGCTACCTGGACACTCTGTGCCCCTTATCCCTGTCCCAGCCCGAGTGCCAAAAGCCTACCAGTAGGGCTCAGTTGCCTGGACCCTGCTCTCCCCATCCCTCCATTCACTTTGCTTGTGGGAACTCCTCCTTGCTCCTGCCCCTGGGTGGAGTGGCAGGTCATCCTACAAGTGCCCTGACACTTGGAATCAGCACTGTGTCAAAACAAGATCAAGAAGGTTTTCCAGCGATCCTGCCTCTGCCTTCAATTTGGATGCACAGGTACCACAGCAAGCTTCCAATTCGAGATAGAAACTCTCTGTGGGACCCAGAAGCAGGGAGTCACCCCTTTGGGGCCCATAACACCCAGCTGTGGCCCAGACTCCTGTCCAGAGGAGATCGTGTTGAGAGCCCAAAGGGAGAGTGAGGCAGAGATGCCTGAGCAGGACAAGGAACCGAATCCAAGAGAATCCTGATGATAAAAAGAGGGGCCCCAAGGGCACCAGGGATGCACGGTCTGCATTCAGGCCCCACAAGATAATGGACACCCCTTGCTCTTAGTGACCAGGCCCAGGCCTCTGCAGAGAGACCTCCATGGCCAGAGCTCAGAAGTTAGATATGAACAGAGATCCCAGACTTGCAGGATGAGCCCCTGCCCCCAAAGAAATGCCATTTGCAGCTCCTACAGCTACACTAGAGCTTCCAGAGGCTCAAGAAAAGGAGGGGGCCAGCCTCATCCCACTGCCATGCCGAGTTGGCAGCTAGAAGACGACGCTCAGAGCCTAGCTCTCAAGAGTTGAAGCATCTGAAAGTACCCCACTGTTCACAGAAGGGGCTACCTGGGCACTCGGTGCCGCTTATGCCTGTCCCAGCCCAAGTGCCCAGGCCCTGGCCTCTGCAGAGAGACCTCTACGCCCAGAGCTCAGAAATTAAATATGAACAGAGATCCCAGACTTGCAGGATGAGCCCCTGTCCCAAAGAAATTCCATTTCCAGCTCCTACACCTGAACGGGAGGCTTCCCATGGCTAAAGAGGAGGAGGGGGCCAGCCTCAACCCACTGCCATGTGACCATGTCAGAAGTCACATATGACCAGAAATCCCTGCCTTCTGGGATGAGCCCGGACCCCCCCAAAAATGGCCATTTCCAGCTCCTACAGCACAAGAGGCTTCCCGGGGCTAAAGAGGAGGAGGGGGCCAGCCTCATCCCACTGCCATGCCGAGTTGCCAGCTAAAAGATGACTCTCAGAGCCTAGCTCTCCAGATTTGAAGCATCCGAAAGTACCCCACTGTTCCCAGAAGGGGCTACCTGGGCACTCTGTGCCCCTTATCCCTGTCCCAGCCCGAGTGCCAAAAACCTACCAGAAGGGCTCAGTTGCCGGGACCCTGCTCTCCCCATCCCGCAGGTCACTTTGCTTGTGGGATCTCCTCCCTGCTCCTGCCCCTGGGTCGAGTGGCAGGTCACCCTACAAATGCACGGACAATTGGAATCAGCCCGGACACTAACTCATCCCACTGCCATGTGACCCTCAGTTCCTCAGAGACAGTGAGTGAGCTCAACTCTCAGGCTGTCATTCACACTCAGCGTGAAAAGGCAGCAGATTCACTACCAAGGGAGAAACTGGCCCCCAGGAATGGCTCCCCAACATCTCAAAAGTCTAGGCCTCGTAGAAAGAAATATCCTCCGCTGCCATGCAGCGAAGGGGAGCCTCTGATGCTGCCCCCTCCCTTACAGCTGGGGTTCCAGATCACTGCTGAAGACCTGGACCTGGAGAAGGAGGCGACGCTCCGGGGCATTAATAGTGCACTTCGGGGTGAGGTCAAGGCCATCTGGGACTGTAGAGCCTCACAGCCTTCACAAGCTTTGTCCTTACCTGCAACAGGGACTACTTGTCTGCCTGCTGTCCCTGAAGCACCCAGCATGGATGCACATCAGCAGACTCACAAGTCCCAACAGTACCTGGACCACCTGTCCCTCCTAGCATCTGCTGCAGGGGACCCCTCTAGACCTGCTGTGTCTGGGAGGAAGCACCGCTCATCAGGCCCCCTGTTCTCCTAAGAGCCCCTTCCTGACACCACTTCACACTCCCGGGACACAGCCCAGGTCACCTCCCTGATTCCTGCCCCCTTCCCAGCTCCACGTGCGGACTGCAGCCTGAGAAGCGCAAGGCCTGGCACTTCTGCTGCTGCAGCTGCCGCAGGGGCCCTTACCCCCTCTACATGGAACCCTTCATGGGGGGCCCCACCGAGTGGAGGGCAAAGAGGCCCCTCACATCCCTGGGCCTCAGCCACAGCTGCAGCAGGTGCCCAGTCTGCCTTTCCTGCCTCTCCCAGCAGCAAAAGGATGAAATCCCCAACCCCAATGTGTGTGCATTTCCTTGTCCCCTTCACACAGGGACCCCTTGTTTCCACTGACCCTCTCTCTCCTGGTCTGCAGATTGCTGTATCTGGATCTGGTTCCAGTTCTGCAGCCAGCACATCTGCTAACCTGGCACCCAAGGCAGCAAGTGACTCTGAGGTTACCCCCTTAGAGTCAGTCCCTTTTCCCAGCCTCTCTTTCTGGGGCCTCCTGCAGGCTCCAGTGTAAGCTTCCTCCAATCTCCTCAGGCCCATCTGATGCGCCTCAGGCACAGCACGCCCTCAGGAAAGGACACCAGCAGCCCAGCAGGATGAAGGGTCTGTGGTCCCACTCCAGTACCAAAACTTCCTGTTACCGCAGTAGCCACAGTCCAGCCCAAACTTGTGGTCCTTCATGGGCAGCAGCAGGGAACCCGCACCTCGAAGCACTCTCTTTTGTCTTCCCATCTGGCAGCTCCAGCTGCAGCCCCAGCCTCATCTGCTCCAAGACAGCCAGCCCAGGGCACCACAGCACACTCAGCTGCAGGGGTCTCATTACCCACCACTTGCACCTTGGGTCTCCCGGCCAGAAGCAAGTGGGCCTGGCTGCCGGCTCAGCTGGGTCCCTTCCTGAGGCATTTGCTGCCTCTGCCTGTGAGGTGCATGCTGCCTCCTCACACGGTGCCTCTGCCAAAACTAGGTGGCTCTGCTAAATGTTGAAAGCAGGGCCCAGCCCCCTCGACACTGGTGGTTTCTGCAACACAAATGGGCCTGGGGAGCAGAGAGGCAGCCTCAGCTCTGAGTTCCAGAAATGCATCCCTCAGCAGCAAAGTGGCAAAGAGAAAGGCCCTGAGCACCACACACAGCAAGGGGGTTTGAGGGGGCCTGAACACCAGGGGACCCCCAACCAGGCAGAGCACCCACATGGTGACCGGGAGAGGCAATACAAGGAGCAATTCTATTGGCTGGCACTTTTGTCTTTCCTTTCCGTCGTATTTCTGGGGGACCATTTAAGCAGTCACCCCCGATTGCAAGGCGGGGACCCAGTGCCACTGCAAAACAAGGCAGACTTTGGGTGCAAGTCTGGGCCAGCTTCTGACCCTGGCAACCCCACTGCCCACGTGGGCACAGCAAGGAGGAACCTGGCCTGTAAGGCTTCCTGGTGCGCTGTCCAGGGTTCTGCTGGACACGGGTCTGCTGGGCCATCCTCCAGTTCATCCTTTTTTAGGTCGGGCTTTTGAGGTCTTCCTCATCGATTCCTTGCCTGGAGTGAAGTCCACAAGAGTTTTCTCTAGGTTTTCTTCTCACATTTTTGTAGTTTCATATCTTACATTCAAGTCTTGGATGTATCCGGAGGTGATGTTTGTATATGGTGAGAGATAGGGGTCCAGTTTCATTCTTCTGCATGCGGCTGTCCAGCCCTCCCGGTGCCATTCATTGAAGAGGGCATCCTTTCCTCTGAGTGTGTTTCTGTCGGCTCTGTTGAAGAACCATTGGCTGTGAATATGTGGCTGTCTTTCTGGGCTCTCTCATATGTGTGTCCCATTAATCTGTGTGTCTATTTTCATGCTATGATCATGCTGCCACTCAGCCCTTTCTCAGGGATGTCCAGAGCTACAACAACTAGGTATTTTACTGAGCTCCTGTGCCCTTATACTATTCAAGCAACATATCTAAACTGATCAAAGAGTAGTGGATGCTGAGAAAAGAGACCCGCGTTCCAGCCCCACTGTTCACTCCACCAGCCTCATGACCCATGTAGACGAAGCAGCCTGGGGGCTCCAGGCCTCGTCCTCTGCAGGAGACGGGGTGGGAGGCAGCTATCTGCAGGCCCAGCTGTCTCTACCTGCACCATCAAGAATGAGATCGTCTAGGTCACAGCTGCTGCAGAAGCTGGGAAATGGCACCTCTTATGGATCTGGGGACTTAGTCAATACCGGCCTCTCTGCAGTCTTTCCCCCACTCCCAGAAGGGCAGGGCCAAATGGCTAAGTGACTCACGAAGCAGCTCTCCAAGGAGGAAACACAATGCAAACCAAAACCCTCTCCAACGCACGGCAACACACAATACAAACCCAACACCCTGAGACAAGTAAGCAAGACCCTGCAGTACCTGTCCCAGCCCTACCCGCAGAGCCCCAGGCTTCCGGAAGCCAAGAGTGTCGAGGGAGCTCATTCCAACTTCTGCCTGAAAATACTATGGAAACTACCAAGTAAACGTAAGTGATAACAAAGGCAGACAAAAAACCCTTTCAAGTCTCTTTCCAAACACCTCCAGCAAAATAGGCTGCTTCTTTTGATGTCAGGGGTGGGTAAGATTCTTAGGAACACGGAGATAAAGTCTCTTAGACGTGTCACCTCATAGCCCTGAATTCCAAGAGATTCCTAAAATTCGGCAGCATTGCCTTTGGGGGAAGCCCTCAGGAAGCCCCGGAAGGTTTAGATTCTCTCCAGTGGAACATCCCGTGACCGCTGGCAGGCTGGGCCCTTGTGGAATCAGCCCCTCACCTCGTTCCAGTTTGGCTCAGCTGTGTCCCTGTAGATGCACATCTTTGCTTTATTCACAAAATATACAAAGGAATCCACCTCCAGGGTGCAGTACAGATCTGTGGGAGAAAGGGACATGGAGAAGGCAGCTCTTTTCCACATCATCCACATGGTCTATAAGAGCAGGTGTTACTTGAAGAATCCGGAAAAAACAAAGGTGTTAGCTTTCTTTTAAAAAATAAAACACCAAATGGGGTTCTGGCATGAACACCAGCACCTCATGCTATACTCCTGCCTGATCTGTAAAATTCCCCTGGGTGCAGCTGGGAAACGGGGCCTCGCACAACATTCATTCATGCAGTCAGTCCACAAACCACAGCTAAAGCCCCTACAATGAGAAGGGCCCTGCAGTGGTGGGGACAGAGAGGCGTACACGCCATCGTTACACAGGGGATGTGAGCCATAGAGACACCACGGCAGAGGCCAGCCATCCTGGGGGATGTGGGAAGCTCCTACAACCAGAGCAGACCCCGCTCTAAGTATTACCGGGCAAAGAGCGAAGGCAAAGGGCCCCCCAGGCCACTGTGGGGCATGGGAAGCAGCTCGGTGCTGGGGAAGCCGTGGGGTGTAGGAAGAAGGGAGGGAGACGAGGCTGGGGGAGAGCGGGGCTGGGCTGTGGGCAGTAAGTGGCAGGGTGGGGTTTGTATTTTAGAAAAACCACCTGAGTGGCTGATGTCTGTAATCCCCGCACTTTGGGAGGCCAAGGCGGGTGGATCACCTGCGGTTGGGAGTTCAAGGCCAGTCTGACCAACAGGGAGAAACCCCATCTCTACTAAAAATACAAAATTAGCTGGGTGTGGTGGTGCGTGTCTGTAATCTCAGCTACTCGGGAGGCTGAGGCAAGAGAATAACCTGAACCCAGGAGATGGAGGTTGCGGTGAGCTGAGATAGTGCCATTGTACTCCATCCTGGGCAGTAAGAATGAAACTCTATCTCAGAAAAAAGAAAAACCACCCGAGAAGGGGGGTGGAGAGGCCTCGTGGTGGGGACCCTTTCTGCAGTGACATCCAGAGCTACAACCAGGAAGGAGGCCACAGCCAGGGCCTGGCCAGGCAGCCAGACACGATCAAGAAACCTCACTGATGGAGAACGGCATTTAACAGAGGGAAAGTGGATGGCAGTTTCTGGTGTGGCCACGGGGTGGATTGTGGTGCCCCTCAAAGGAACAGGACATAGAGGAACACGTTTGGGGGCTGTGAATAATAGGTTTCCTTTGGGGATGCAAGGCTGAGTGCATGGGACATTGAAGAGATAGAAAGAAAGGTAACAGGGAGGCAAGGAGAGATAAGCCCAGGACCCCAGGGCAGCGTATGGTATCATCCTGCACTGCTCACAGACAGGACCCGGGAGGAGAGGCAGGGATGGAAGAAGGTCCTTGAGGGAAACACCAGCGTCTATGAGGCCGCCAGAGACGGGGTCCAGGGGAAAGTTGATATGTGTTACAATGCTATGGAAGTGTAATCTGCATGTCATATAATTTATTCATTCCAAGTGTAGGGTTTGAGGATTTTTAGCAAATTTAAACACCAGGGCAAACAGCACCCCAATCTTTTCACGACACTGCTCTCAGCTAAAAAGTCCCCTTGGGTTCGTCCGCAGTAAGTTCTTTCTCCCAACCCCATCCCTCAACGATCACCGGTAAGCTTTCTGTCTCCACATTTTGCTGTTTCTAGAAACTTTTTTTTTTTTTTTTTGAGATGGAGTCTTGCTCCGTCACCCAAGCTGGAATGCAGTGGCACAATCTTGGCTCACTATAATCTCCGCCTCGTGGGTTCAAGTGATTATCCCGTCTCAGCCTCTCAAGTAGCTGGGATTACAAGTGCCCACCAGCTCACCTGGCTAATCTTTGTATTTTTAGTAGACACGGGATTTCACCGTGTTGGGTCAGGCTGGTCTCAAACTCCTGAGCTCAAGTGATCTGCCTGCCTCGGCTTCCCAAAGTGCTGGGATTACAGGCATAAATCACCACTCCTGGCTTCTAGAAACTTATATAGTGCAACTGATGTGTTACCTAGTCTTCACTGTTCTGACGGCTCCAGCAGCTGGGGGAGAACCCCACTTAGAGGGCAAGGTAAAAAAGAGTATTGGGGGCTGGGCACAATGGCTCACACCTGTAAGTTCAGCACTTTGGGAGGCCGAGGCTGGTGGACCACAAGGTCAGGAGTTCAAGACCAAGCCTGGCCAGCATGGTCCCCATCTCTACTAAAGATACAAACAATCAGCCAGGTGTGGTGGCACGTGCCTGTAATCCCAGCTACTTGGCAGGCTGAGGCAGAACTGCTTGAACCTGGGAGGTGGAGGTTGCAGTGAGCCGATATAGCAATGTTGCACTCCAGCCTGGGTGACAGGATGAGACCTCATCTCAGAAAATAAAAGAAAAAAAGAGTATTATTCATCCAGCTTGACAGAGCAGCCAAATCTGCTCTGCTGTGGGGTGAAGGTTTACTGTTTGCTGACTGCCCTCCTGGTTTGGACCCAAGACTCCTGGGCTTTCCAGCTCCTGCCTGTCAAACTCCTTGTCAAACCCCTGCGATCACACAATCCACCTGCAAGGGTCAGCTCACCGGCTCCCAGGATCTGAGACAGGCTCGGGAGACGGCAGAGGTCACTCCGGGAAAAACAATTCCACACGCAGAAGGCATCAACCAGCACCAACGCTCCACTGCGGCCAGTGATCAAAGGTGTCCCGTGGTCATTTGAACAACCTCCCTGCTTCCCCACACCCTGGCCGATTAGTCCTTCCTGGGTGGAGAACCTGGCTCGGTCCGTGCAACCTTCCTCCCCACACCAGTACTTACTTGAACTCTGCTTAAATCCAGTGGCTGAGTGGACGATGACATTCAGAAACCCATAGAGCCCCGGAGACTCATAATCTGTACAAGAGACCAAAGAGGTAAGCGTCTGTTGTGCCGGGAAAGGGAGGCAGGTGACAGGCTAACTCTGCTTCAGAATCAACCATCCCAGAGACACAGCGTAGCTGCCATCCACCCAGCACAAGGCAAGCCAGTGTCACGGGCCAAAAGCATACCCATCATGATTTCTGTCTTGGGGATCTCAGGGTCCACTTGGGTTCCAGGGACCCAAAGTGTAATAATGTTCCAAAGACACAGAGGGGGTCGGGGTGATAGGGACGTGGATGGGGTGTGTGTGGACAGGTGTGCATAGCATGTGCTGTGTGTGTGACTGAGCATATGTGCAACAGTGAATGCAAGACATGGCTTGACCCAAAGTGCCAACCAGCAAGTAGTTGGAGGAGGGAGGGCTGGGAGGGTGGGAGTGGGGCCGGATCAAGGCATGGAGCATCGGAGGAGCGTCCACTGTAGCCCTTGTGACTAGGAAGGTGATTAGCCGAGTGTCTCCTCAACCACCCAGCAGTAGCCACTCAGGGAGAAACCGCTCCTAACCCATCTCATCCACTCCTGGGAGGAGACAAGAGGCCCTAACAAGCACACCTCTTCCTTCCAAACCAAAGTCCATTAGTCCCAACAAAAGTGCTAAAAGGAAGTGGGGGTCAGCCCCTGGGCCAGCTGCCTGCCCTCCCTGCAGGTGCCCTGTGCACAGGAGGACGGGCCCACCTTCCTTGCTGATGGTCAGTGGAATGCTGTGGACCGTCTGCAGTTTGACACACCAGTTGGTCAGCATCTGCAGCTCCACGGATGTCAGGGAGAAGCTTTTGAAACCTGGGAGGTTGGAAGAGAGGTGCACCAATTGGTCAGTGAGCTCCTTGGCCCTCCTGCCCCTCCCCCTAGACCCACACCACATCCTGGGGAAGGGGCATGGCAAGAACTAGTGCCAGGACTTGGAGGCTCAGGAGAGGGCACTTGGCTCCCAAGTGCAATGCTGGTCCGGCAGCAGAGCAAGGTGTGGCTCTGGAAGGCCCAGGCCTGGAGGAGTCTTGGCGTGAGACTCACAAACACACGTCACGCACTACCTATGCTCAGCCACAAGGCAGGTCTGAGAATAAGCGGCTGGTCAGGGAGCACCTCCCTGTGAGGTCTCCCCAGACAGACAGCAGCCACATCTCTTCCCCCATTTCTCCACTGGGGGAGGAAAAGGGGCTTATTTCTGGGCATAATGCTGAACAGGGAATAGATGCTGCCACTCTAGAAATGGCTGGGGCTCCCATGTTATGACAGGAAACCCAGGGCCAGGAGCACTGGCAGGGCTGCTCGGAGCTCCTCGTTGCCCCAGACCACGGGGTCAATGCGGGCTGAGGCGTGGCTCTGCATAGGTGAGAAGGATAAGCCTGAGGGGATGAGAGGTCAGACCAGGTCAGAGGTGCACAGAGCGCCTGCCCAGCATCCCTGTGAAAAACGATGCTTTGCAGGTAATGGCCCACAGCTGTGGGAGGACCAGGCCACCTGGATATGGTGCTCAGCCCAGCTCCCCCACTAGAGGGACAGTGGTGTACAGAGTGCCAGTGGGAACGTCTAGGTAAGGGTGGCACATCAATCCCAAACCTCCAAGGAGGAAACTGGGTGTGCCCCGCCCCCCCCCCCCCCCCCCCCCCCCCCCCCCCGGCCCCTGCGGAACACAGGACAGAAGGAAGGAGCGCCCTGACAGAGGGAAGTGCCCAGAGAAGGAAGGGGCTGCCCCAGAGGGAGGGAGCACCCCTGTGCTGACAGCAGGCAGCTGGGCCATGTGGACAGGGCAGTGGGGCCAGTGCAGTGTGGCTACCCAAGTGGTCCCAGCCAAGGGCTCCTTTAGCACCTGCTGGGGCAGGGAAGGCCTGGGGGAGTACGGGGCAGATGAGGGGAAATGGGGGAGGCCAAGAAAATGGAGTGGTGGCAGGGTCCTGGAAAGGCCTAGGGGGCAGGCCAGGGGGTGGGGTGTATGTGCAGTAGGCTGGGGAAATGAATGCCCGGAGGATGGGGGCAGGATAGGTTCGGGGTGTGTCCAAGTGAAAACTCAGTGCCATTAGACGGTCAGGAGTGGAGAGACAAGACGGCTGGGAGGCCTACGGGGATGATCGTCTCCAACTTGTTTTCTAAATGAGCCTTCCACCTAACACTTCACTTGATAAAACCCCTCAAAACAAAAAAGAAAGTTTCAAACCACAGGAGCTGCCAGCCTGGCCCTGGTGTTTCAAAGCCCAGCCCTCTCAGGACAGAGGACACTCACACTTCTGCTGCTCCCGGATATTCTCCCTCCACTCTGCACGCTCATAGCCAGAGGAGATCAGGAACGTGTAACTCTAGGGTGGGCGAGACGAACAAACCCAGTTACCTCCACTCTGTGAATGCAGCCCCTCCCCTAGGCCCCGCATCCTGAACCATTCCAAGCCCTCCAGCATCTGGCTGTGACTTTCTCCGGTCACTTGGTACTTTACCCACAAAATGGAACTACACAGCAAAGGACGCTGCCTGGGCATCAGAAGACCACAAGAACTCAAGCCAGTGGCCAGAGGTGAGAACCCAGAAGCCTCTCTCCTGCCTGCCTGGCTGACTGAGCTCCTGCATTCTAGCTGCCTCCTTAAAAGGACCATCCAGGCATTTGCCTGTGAACTTAAAGTGTCCACACCCTATTCCCTTAGAAATGCTGTTAGCTGTCATGCGTGCTGTCTCTCTCTCTCTCTGACTCTTCACTTGTGCCTCGTGTGATTTAGGGACAGAGGACTGCCCACCCTCCTCATGGCAACTCCTTGTCCAAAACCTGTAGGTAAAAAATCTCGGAACTAGTTTCCCATGGTGGTGGTGTGCTTCCGAAAAGCTAGGCAGTGTTTTCCTAGGTCAGGTTTTCCCAGGGATGCCGGCGAAAACAGAAGATCAGGCTCCCAGTGCCATAGCAATGGCCAGGCAGGCATAAACTAGACATGGTTTAAACTTGCCGGTGTAAACACGTTTCCCTCATGAGGGACCCCTGGTCACAGATGAGATAACTAAGCATAAGGTCGTCTACCAGGTATAAGAAGTATCCCATGAAAGGCATACTGTAGAGACCACGACCAGTTCCCTTCATTTTTCTGGAAGGCTGGGTTGGCAGTCCCTGTGGTATGGTGCTCCGCATTAAGCCGGGGGTTCTCAGAACAATCGGGCACCTAGCTGTGCCCAGATGCCCAGCCCTCCAAGACCTGAGCGCTCATATATGTCCCAGAGACCAGACCTGGGGCTCAGAGGCCTGACAGAGAGAGCACCCACTGGCTGTGTGTGGGGGCTGCTGCCCAACAAGACCACACGGAGCCCGGCCCTTGCTTCCCCCACCTGCCCCCCACCATGCACCTTCTCTCTCTGAATGTCACTCTTGATCTGGGAGATCTTGATCTTCAGAGCGTCCAGCTCCTCGTCCGGCACCAGGGGGATGTTGGGCACTGCCTCCGATTCGTCCACCATCTGGAAGCTGAGATCCGTGAGTAGAATGTACCATTTGCAGTCATACTGCTGGGTTTTGCTGGGGGCGGGGAGAGAAGGACACTGACATGCACCAACTACCTTCCACGGCTGATGTCACTGCTGCCAAGAACCCAAGAGCCCGTGTTCCTGACCACACACGGCTCACCCGACCGAATCCCAGTACGTGTTCCATGGAACCGACTGGGATGAAGCCACTGGCAGGCGCTGGTGGCCCCGGCCTCAGCCTCAGTGATTCCTGGGAACAGACACTCTGAACACGTGACCCCAGGCCCCAGGCCTCTCAGGAGTCTAGATGCATCTTATCCTATGCTGACCCTAAGGTGGAGGGCTCATGTGGGAGCACGTCAAGGCTGCACAATGACAGGACAGGGCTGAAGTCCACCCCCAGGGCTGTAAGAGTTTCAACGACTGTAGATAAAGCTGGCGTCATCCCCTCGCCTGACAGATGGGAGAACGAAGGCTCTCCTCTGAGTTGACTGATTCAACCCACTCAGCAGGGCAGGATGAGGGGAAGAGCCTGTGCTGGTCTTCCTAGTGCAGCCTTTGCTCTACTCCAACCTGGTGCAACCTGGGTGAACCCAATCCCTGGAGGGAGGAGGGGAGTGTGTGCAGGGGTACGCTGAGAATAACTCAGGAGTCACCACCCAGCACTGCCTGCAGCCCCTGACCTCAAACGGTCCTGAGGTGGCCTTTCCGCAATGGTCCTGGAAGTCATGGTCGGGTTTACCCCTCACTACAGGAGTCAAAGCTGGTCCCCAGGATGCCCCATGACGTCTCCTGCTAGTGACAATCTTTAACCTGGGCCCTGACATTGTGCCCAAGTAGCAACGGAATGTAAAAAGAGCACCTAGCTACATTGCTGCTGGCCTCCGCCATGACGGACCCTCCACGCCCTGGAGCGTCAGCACGGACGGGGTCACTGCTGGGACGGGACCCCATCGTTACTCACCCTCCGCTCTGCTTCTTGAGCTTGGTGCAGAGAAGCAGGTCGGTGAAGAGGAAGACATGGCGCAGCTTGCGGGCCCCCTCCACCAGCTCCACCATGAAGCTGTCCTTCAGCAGCTGCCGGTGCTGCGGGCACAGGGAAGGCTGGGGTCAGGGCCAGCCTGGGGTGATGGGTGGGGTGCATTCAGCCCTCCCAGCCCAGCAGGAGCAGGTTGACCCAGGGACGTTCTCTCTGGGAAGATTTCACTCCTTCCACATCTGACCCTCACACTCACTTTCCAGAAGGTTTTGTTCATCTCACAGTCCTGCTGACAGATCAGGGCTTACGTGTAACTTCTCTGTTCAACAAATTTCCCAGTCCCTCCTGTGTGCTCAGCCTTTGGAAGAGAGTGGGAGGATAGAGGAGGGGGGAGGTAACGACTGTGGGTCTGTAGAGGCACACAGCCAAGCAAAGGGTCTGCTGTGAAGATGGGTGATGGAACGACCCGCTTTAAACAGGGCAGCCAGTGCCTCTCTGGGGTGGCAGGTGGAGCTCTAGAACTGGCAAGAAGCCAGCCGTGCCAGGAGCAGGTCTTTCTGTAGAGGGACCATGTCAGGCACAGGCCCTGTGGTGGGAAGAGCTTGGGGCTGGAGGTTCAGTGTGGTCTGTGGGTGGAGATGGGCCCGGTGCACTCTGGAAGTGGCAGCCCTCGAGGTCATGGCAAAGGGTCGGGCCTGGTTCTGAGGGCAGCAGGAACCGGGGCCCCATGCCTGGAACTCCTAGTCCTCCCAACTAGACAGGATGGGCAGGGTCCCTGGTGTGCAGGGGCCACACCTCTGACACCTGCCTGGACACGCGCAGCCTCAGAGCAGGGTTAAAGTGGCGCGCAGGTGGGGAGTGCAGGGCAGGGGCACAGGCTCCTAAGAAGCCACGCCCCTTTCTGCCTCTTGTTCTGTATCTGAAAGGCAAGGGTTGGTCCTTCTTGCTCAAGAGGCTCCTCAATGGGCATGTCTAGGTTATGTCACCCCTGCCTGGTACCTCACAGCGTTGGGCACTGGATGAGAGGCTGTCGCAGCAGCCTTCCCCATGCCGGGACCAGAGCACTGCATGAGGACGTCGCCTGAACTATTTGATCCAATCCCTACAACAGCCTGGAGGCAGTTCCTTAATGAGAAAACTGAGCTTCAGCGAGGCCCACACTCTGTCCCAGGCAGCAGAGAGCAAGCGGCAGCATTCACAGGTCTCTACACTCAGGAGCCCACAACCTCATGGGAGAAAGACCAAGTGTTTGGCGGGCATCCAGCCCCCTGGTCTCAGGGAAGGCTCACAGGGAGGATGACCCCCGCCCTGTACTGAGAGCCGGAGGGTCTGCAGGGGAGTCACATGCAACAGAGGGTATGAAAATTCAGTGTTTCCCCACAGGAGCTGCACCTGTCCCCATCTCGAGAAGTGATGAGGTCCTGTGCTCTGGGTGAGCCAGGCTGGTTCTGGGGCCAGACCAGGCACTGCGCACTGCTGTCTTGCAGCCTGAGGTTCTTCTCAGGGAGCCTCTGTCTCTCTCAACTCTCCTGTACTCTGAGGCTGGAGGCAGCAGAGCTCCCCATTCGCATGTACAGTCGGTGCCAGGCCTCCGACACTCTCAGGGGTGGAGGCTGCATATCACCATCATAAGCAGCTTGGCTCACGACAGCCAGCCGGCTCTGGTGAGGGGGAACAATGACTTATGTAGGGGTCGCTGGTGCCCATAAGTGGAAGGCTAGGAAGGTTGCCGGAGTGCCAAGGCCGTGACTCATAGGCACTCACCCACACTCCGCCTGCCAAGGGCAGACGGCCGCCTGGTGACAGCACCCACAGGAAGCAAGAAACAGCATGTGCCCCTGGAGAAATGTCAGGCAGAGCTGGAGCGCTGAAGCCGGGTAATCCCCACTGCTGGGTCTGCAGCAGGGACCAGGTCTGGGTAGGATCCTAGGGCACTGAGGTCCTTAGAGAAGGACTACAGGATGTCTGCTTGGCAGGGACACAAGAAAGAGCCTCCCTGCCAAGGAGGAATGGTCTCAGGCACCTTCCCTGTGGGGCTGGATGGTCAGCAGCCTTCTCCATACAAAGGCGCTGAGCTTCTCGCCATTACCAGCAGAGGGCACCCCATGCTCCGCTCAGAAGCCGCAGACCCGGCCCACTCTGCCTTGTGTGCCAGAAATGCAGCTGCCTCTCCAGCAGCGGTTTCCCACAGCCCACCTCAGGGGCACCTTTGGCCTTCAGCAAGGCCACCGAGTGTCACACTGGACGCCTGTAGCACCCACATGCCGGCCTGCCACACTGAGAGGACCAGGCCTGGCTATGGGGAGGACGTGGCCCCTCTGGGTGTGGACTGCAGGCCCGGGAGGCTTGGACAGATGATTCTAGGCTACTCTTCTGATGTCACCACAGCCTCCAAACCCTCACCCACCCATGCAGCTCTCCCCTGAGAGAAACCCTAATCCATAGGCACCCCAGCATGTCGCAGCACCTCAGGCCCTGCTCTGCAGTCCCCATCACCCAGTCCCTGCCCTCCCAGTCCACACAACACCAGCACGGAGCTGGGAGGCCATGTGGCATAGGTCACTGCCTGCCCAGGAGACGTCCCTCTCAGAAGTGCTCAGCAGCCTGGTACCCGGCTCAGAGTACAGGATGCTCAGCCTTGAAATCAGCCCAAGCTTCCCCGCACAGTCCACCGGACTCACATCCTCCAGGGCACATGGCAAGGGTGGGCTGGGGCCACGGTCCTGACTGCATCCCAAAGCCAGCATAAGGCCACGTGGCTGGAAACCACTGTCCCTAAGGCTCAGTGTCTCTCCAGGGCAAACACCCCCAGCTGGAGCAGGGGGACAGAGAGGGCCCGGGCGTCACTGGGACAGCACCACGGTTTGGAGAGCTGGCTTGCCGGGCTGCGGGAGCCTGTGTGTGAAAAGGGCGCATTGGAAGATCCCATGTGTGCCATTATGCCCAGCTAAATTTTTTTTTTTTTTTGGTAGAGACAGGGGTCTCGCTATGTTGTCCAGACTGGTCTTGAACTCCTGGCCTCAAGTGGTCCTCCCACCTAGACCTCCCAACGAGCTGGGATTGCAGGTGTGAGCCCCTGCACCTGGCTCTGCCTTTAAAGGGAAGGAAATTTTGTTACATGCTACAACACGATGAACCTTGAAAACATGATGCTAAGTGAAATATGGCAGTCACAAAGTGCCACATGTTGTATGACTCCACTGATACTAAATGTCCAGAATATGTAAATCCATAAAAAGAGAAGGTAGGTCAGTGACTGCTTAATGGGCCATGGGGTTTCCTTCTGGGGTGACAAAAATGTTTTGGAACTAAATAGAGATATTGGTTACACAACACTGTGAATGCACTAAAAGCCACTGAATTGCTCACTTTAAAATGATTCATTTTACATTATGTGATTTTTACCTCATTTTTTTTTTAAAAAACTGACCTGTTTTCCTCTCTTAAGCAGGGAACCCGGAACATAATTCCGCTATTTCCCAAGGGCTGAGTATCCTTCCAGATGGACGTCAGTACAGCCTGACCATAATCCCAGGCCACCCACAGGCAGTGAGTGCTTTCAGAGACACAGTTGGTTCTGGTGGTTTTTCTACTTAATCCTCCTCTGCCAGTCTGGCAGCTGCCCCTTCTTGCATCCAAACAAGGGGCTCAAAATTCTTTTTTTTTTTGAGACAGAGTTTTGCTGTTGTTACCCAGACTGGAGTGCAATGGCACGATCTCGGCTCACCGCAACCTCTGCCTTCTGGATTCAAGCAATTCTCCTGCCTCAGCCTCCCGAGTAGCTGGGACTACAGGTGCGCACAACCATGCCCAGCTAATTTTTGTATTTTTAGTAGAGACGGGGTTTCACCTTGTTGACCAGGATGTTCTTGATCTCTTGACCTCGTGGTCCACCTGCCTCGGCCTCCCAAAGTGCTGGGATTATAGGCGTGAGCCACCGCGCGCGGCCACAAAATTCTTTATAAATGAGACGTCCTCTATCCAGTTAGCCACTGCACCCTGGCTAAAGGCCTGCCCCCAGGGCCCTTGGTTCTGTGGTGGGCAGGTGCACAGAGAGCACCCTAGGATCCCGTGGCCTCCCAGCCCTCATGCTGTACCCCAACAATGACATCACCAGGCCAGCACCCAAGAACGAAAGCCTCAGCTGCCCAGATAGAGCTCAGGGTCATGAATCAGCATGTGCCACAAAGAAAGCCACCAGGCTAGCCAAGGCCCCCACCCCATAGGCTGGAAAATGTCAGTCGGGAAGGGCCTGAGCCTGCCCTGCTCCCTGATGCCTTGGCTCCCCAGGCAACCCTAGACACTGAGAACGAGAAACAGGTATTTATAGCTCTGAGCTTTCTTGGAGGAGAAAGCCCAACCCGTGCAACCAGCCTGATGGCTCTGCCCGCTTGAAGGCTGAGCTGGTTGGAGACTCAATCACCAGAAGGTCAACTTTGCTGGCAATTTTTTGGGGGGCACTAAAGACAGCTGTTTTCCTCTACAAACGGAGGGTGCCTCAGTATGGGCAGGTGAGAACCCCGCCTCCTCTCCATCAGCATCCACAACACTGTTAAAGGACCCTCCCGAGTCTCCAAGGACCCAGCTGTGCCTAAGGCTCCCAGTCATTCCAGGAGGCAAAAATAATTTGATGCTCCAGGCTTTGATGCTCCTCCTGGTGCAGGCACAGGGCAGACAGAGGCTGAAATCCCAGCTGGGAAGAGGCAGCCGCCCTCGGCCCCAGAATGATATAGTCATTACTCCTCAGCAGCACCTGGGCTTTTTAGGACTCAGGGGCTCAGAAAGACTTCCTGGAGGCCCTGAAGATTTAGCCCCAGACAAATGTACTGAGTACCTAATACATCTAGGGCACTGTGCTGGGTATGCAACGGTGAGCACTGCACACCCAGCCCCTGCTCTCGGGAGCCAGTGGAATCCACCAAGTCATGTGACATGGGCATCACAGCAACCATGCCAAGGCCAAGGGAGAGGCAGCTGGCACCGGAGTACATGCAGGAGGGAGGCAGACAAATCCAGGCAGGACAGCAGGGCCTGTCCCTGAGGAAATAACCACAGAGCCAGAACCTGAGAGAGGGGGAGGCACACACTGGCTCCCCGGAGGAACACCAAGGTGAGAAGCCCACTGTTGTGGGCCCCCAAAGGAACACGTTCATTCCTAACCCTAGAATCTGCAAGTGTGACCTTACCTGGAAAAAGAGGCCTTGCAGATATAATGAGGTTAAAGGCCTTGCGATGAGCTCACCCTAGATCGTCCGACCACTACTACTATGATGTGTTTCTATTCTCCCAGAACACTCCTGACAACATGTATGTGGGTTTATTCCTTTCACCGGGCAATCCTCCCCGTCTCTGGACACCAGCCAGGTGTCCTATAATTTAATTCCATTCTGCCAGTAAGTACATGGAATGAGTGTCAGACCCCACAGGTTAGGCGCTCAGTACCACAAGACTGCCCCCACTTCAGGCACTGGGGCAAAGTCTGGGACACATGTACTTCTGACCTACTGACCCTAAAGCTGGGGGTGGGGTGTTCTCACAACCCCCTCCTCAGGTTCAATAATTTTCTAGAACCGGGAACGGTGGCTCACGCCTGTAATCTCAGCATTTTGGGAGGCCGAGACAGGTGGATGGCCTGAGGTCAGGAGTTCGAGACCAGCATGGCCAATATGGTGAAACCCCGTTTCTACTAAAAATACAAAAATTAGCCAGGCATGGTGGCATGTGCCTGTAGTCCCAGCTACTCTGGAGGCTGAGGCAGGAGAATTGCTTGAACCCAGGAGGTGGAGGTTGCAACGAGCCGAGATCGCACCACAGCATTCCAGCCTGGGCGATGGAGTAAGACTGCATCTCAAAAAAAAAAAAATTGCTAGAGCAGAGCAGCTCACAAAATTCAGGAAAGCCCTTTACTCATGTTTACCAGTTTATTATAAAGGATACCACTCAGGAACAGCCAAACAGAAGAGAAGCACAGGGCAGGGTGACAGAGTGTGTACTGCTGGGGGGAGCTTCCATGGCCTCTGGGGCACTGCCCGCCCAGCACCTCCATGTGTTCACCAATATGAAAGCTCTTGGAGTATAGTGTTTTCATGGAGGTTCCACTAGGTAGGCAAGACTGACTAAATCACTGGCCACTGATGATCCATTCAGCTGAGATCAGGCATTGTCAGCCTGGCAGGGCTGTAGACTGGTGATCAATTCAATCTCCACCCCCTCCCCATCCCCAGAGTTCAGGACAGAGCTAAACTTCCAACCTTCGAATCACAGGGCTGGTTCCTCTGGCAACCAGCCCCATCCCACAGCTATCTGGGGGCCTGCCCATCAATCATCACCTCATTAGCATAACCTCAGGTCCCACAAAAAAGGGCTTGTATGAGTAACAAAAGATGCACCTATCACCTCATTGCAGGAAATTATAATGATTTTAGGAGCCTGTGCCAGAAACCAGAAGACCAAATCTACATATTTTTATTATATCACAATATCACATGATGGACCCTAAATCTGATGACAAGTATATTTAAAGAGACAGAAGACAGGCACACAGGAGGGCGTTTGAAGGCAGATGCAGAGACTGGAGAAGTGCCGGGGCCATCAAATGCTGGGAACGGCAAGGAAAGATCCTCCCCTAGAGCCTCCAGAGACAGCCTGGCCCTGCTGACACCTAGATATTGGGCTTCTATCTTCAGAACTGGGAGAGAATAAATGTTTGTTGTTGTAAGCCCCTAAGCTTATGGCATTGTTAAGGAAGCCACAGGACGCTAAGACATGGCCTGGACTGGGTGCCATGGAGTCTGAGGACAGAGATAACCCAGCCCCTGGGAGAGGTCTGGAAGGGCTTTGCAGTGGTAGAGCCTGTGAGACAGAGAGAAGAATGTGACCAACGGAGCCTTCAGCCAGCAGGGGTGGGGAGCCACAAAGATGTCCCACCCCTGACTCACGCTGCCGACTCAGCTGCCAGCTCTCCTGGGGCTTACAAATGCAGAAAGGCTGGGAAGGACTGAAGGAAGCACCATTCCAAAATATGCTGTATCAGTACACTGACTTGAGCTGACAACATTAGAGACTGCAGCTTCCGAAAGGGCTAGCTGACCTGCTTCTTGCTGTACAAAGCAAGCCATAAAAATTCCTCTGGGAGAGGTGCCCTCCCTGTACCAAGAGAGAAAATAGCCCTTATCCTCTGAGACTGGGAATTGGGGGCTGCAGTGGACCTGAATGAATATACTTAACAAAGTAACCCTTATCTCCCACCAAGTTTCCCCTCATGCATCTCCCAGTGACTCCCCAGAGTTTACTGCCCGTAGCCAGTTCCCTCCTGTCCTGCCACTTCTCAAACTTACTGTTATCTAAAAAGGGTCTTGTTTGGCCACTTCTCTGGACTTGACTCTGGAGAAGAATCCTATGTCCCTGTAAAACCAACGACATCTGTGTTTTTCTCCTATTAATGTGCCTGGTGTCACTTTGGTTTCTAGATCCAGCCAGAGGCCACTAAGAGCTAAGGGGGACTGGAAGCAATCTCTGGGAAAGGAGATACAGCTGGGAAAAGGGCAGCGAGAGGAGAGGGAGGTAGGGGGAGCCTCTATGGGGAGCCTCGGGCTGCAGGCCCAGGACTTGGGCTCGATTTAGGAAGTGTCTGGGTCTGGAACAAGAGGGGAGCCTAGGGCCCGCAGGGGGACAGGTGACATTCTAGCAGCACATCTGAGTGTGGCATAGGAGGTGGGGCAGGGCTGGGGGCTTCTGCAATGTTCACTCCAGGTGGGCCTGGTGTTGGTTGAAAAACGCAGGCAGGGGGCATTGACACAAAGTGATCATGGGTCTGGCTAAGAGGACAAAGACAAAAGGAGGAGGAAGAGTAGAGGGGACGCTGAGCTTTCTAGTCCCCGCGGTGCAGATGTGGCAGCAGGGTACTGGTCAGAAGAGTCCCTGGGAAGATAGTGGGAGGGGGAAAGGTAGGGAAGGTGGAGCAGTGCCCTTCAAAAGAGGATGGCATGGGAACAGTGCCCTGGAGTGGGAGTAGCATGGGGAGCGAGGTCTGAAAGTGAATGGTGGGGGTCCCTCCACGCCAGCAAAGGTGCTCAGCCAGGAATTGGGCTGTGGCCACTGCACACTTGCGGGTCCTCCCCTCCCACTCACTGCTCCTCCAAAGAGGAAACACAGAGGATTAAGGGCAAAAAATGGCAGGAAGAGGGGCCTCCCCCTGCTGGCAGTCACCACCCTGAGCCTGGGGCCAGGGCCCAGCCACCGGCAGACACCCAGCAAGCCTGGGAGGGCAGAGAACCACCTTATTCCCCAACCTGGTCTCGGGCTACCCTTGCTGAAGGATGCCTGGAGTGGGATAGGAGAGGAGACGCACATTCACCACATTCACAGCAGCACCATCCGCAATGGCCGAGAGGTGGCAGCAACCCCAGTGTCCATCCACGCGTGACTGCAAGACCAGAATGTGCTATATACTTGTAAAGGAGTATTATTCAGCCTCGAAAAGGAAGGAAACTCTGAGACATGCTGACTTGGATTAGCCTTGAGGACATTATGCTAAGTGAAATCAGCCAGACACAAAGAGTCAAATACTGTATGCTTCCATGTATATAAGGTTCCTAGAGTAGTCAAATTCAGAGACAGGAAGGAGAATGGGGGCTGTCAGGTGCTGGAGAGGGAGTTAGTGTTTAGTGGAGTTTCAGTTTGGAGAAGATGAAAAAGTTCTGGAGATGGACAGTGGTGACCTCTGTATGACAACGTGGATGTACTTAACACCACTGAAATGCACACCTAAAAATGGCTAACATAGTCAATTTTATGTTATTTACACACACACACACACACACACGCACGCACGCACGCACACAGGATCAACCAGGTTTTCAAATTTAAAACGAAAGAAAAGAAGTACAGTGTTAGGGGCTAAATCATGTTCCCTGCCAAATTCATATGCTGAAGTCCTAACTCCTAAACTTATTTGAAAATAGGGTCTTTACCAAGTTAAAATGAGGTCATTAGGTTAGGTCCTAATCCAATATGACTGTGTCCTTTAAAAAAGGGGTGGCCAGGCGTGGTGGCTCATGCCTGTAATCCCAGCACTTTGCAAGAGAGGAGAATCACTTCAGGCCGGGAGTTGGAGACTAGCCTGAACAACATGAGAGCCTGTCTCTACAAAAAAAAAAAAATACAAAAATTAGCCAGGTGTGGTGGTCATGCCTGTAGTTCTCAGCTACTTGGGAGGCTGAGGCAGGAGGATTGGTCACTGAGCCCAGGAGGCTGAGGCTATAGTGAGCTATGATTGAGCCACTGCACTCCAGCCTGGGACTGGAGCAAGAGGGAGATCCTGTCTCTTAAAAAAAAGTGTGGGGTGGGGTGGGGTGGGGGGATGGAATTTGGAGAGAGATGGGCATATTGGGAGAATGTCATGTGAACTTGAAGACAGTCACCCATAAGGATCCAACCCAGCCAACATCTCAATCTCATACTTCTAGGCTTCAGAACTGTGAGATGATACATTTCTATGATTTGGGCTGCAGAGTTCGTGGTTCTTTGTTACGCAGCCATAGCACACTATTACGTGAATGAAGTCACTGTGGAGCTCAGACACCAGCTTTGAGGAGCTGTCCACATGCCACGTTCTAGACTCGGAGTGGCAGAGGGGAAGAGCAGACACCAAGGCGCACAAGGTCAGAGTAGGAGGCAGCCCAGGGCCTCACCCCCTTCAGCCACGCAGCATATCTGTGCTCTCTTGGGCACTTGCTCAGAAGCTAAATTGTTATAGATTGACCCCAGACTCTCCTGCTAGACAAAAGACCAGAGCCACCTGAGTATCTTGTGCTTGTACAAGTCAGAAATTAAAGAAACCCCGTCACATTCTGAATGTCCTGCACAACACTGCCAGCCAACCAGCCCTTCCTGAGCGCAGCCCCTGCACCTTCAGACTCTCCTTCCTACACAGGGCCTCGGGGGCTTTGCTTTCCTCCCCTCATCCAAGCTGAGAGGTGGGCGGGGGGTGGGGGGGAGGAGGCTTCCATGCAGGTGAGGAAACTGAGGTACTAAAGCAACAAGCTGGGCAGAACCAGAAAAGCCCAATGCTGGAGACAGATTGACAAGGTGTGTATGAACCCTTCTGGGCCCTCAAATGATTCTACAACCTGAGTTCTTTCTATTGAGGGAAAGGAGATGGCCCAGGGGACAGTTTGTGGACTCCCCCCCCAAGCCACATACACACACAAGAAGCACCTGTGTTCCCACCAGCCCTGGAGGAGTATAGCCCTAGGTCAGTCCTGGGGGCTGGTCTGCAATTCCCACCCCTGTCCTAATACTGGGTCACCCTGATCTATAGTGCTCCTGGGAGGCTTATGGAGTTGTGGATGCGCAGGTGCCCAGGACGCCAGCCTGAGTCAGGGCCAGGGGGATAACACCAGCAATGGCAACAGGTACGGGTCAGAAGTGCTGCCTCGAATCCCCACGCCTCTGCAAGGGAGCCATCACTATGTCATTTTACAGACGAAGGTTGAAGGTTTGGATGTAGAACCAACATACCCCGAATTCCACAGCTAAGAAGGGGGATCCCCAACTTCAGGAATCCTGGCGGGCTGAACTAGGGGTGAGCTGGGGCAGGGGAGTGACATTTTGTATTCTGCTCCAGAATTTAAGATGTTCCAGGTGTGGGCAAATGTCAAAAGGCTGAGGAACAGACCAGGAGGTGGCACCGTCTCTAAGTCTAAACCCAAATGGATTTTCCCCTGGAAAACCTGTGCACGCAGTTTATGTGGCCAGGAACTCTCCCATTCTTAAACAAGTATTTGGAAAATGAAATCAAATTCCCTCTGTTCCCAGTTTCCCCTACCCTACCTCCAAGGCCTTCTTCAATCATCCCCCTAAAAAGCAAGACAGAAAACAAAGCAGGATGACAGGGATAACCAGAGGGCCCGGGGGCCTGAGTGAAACTCTTCGCTTCATCTCTCAATGTTCCCACCAATGAAATGGGGATAATGACACTCTCCACCCACGCTCCCTACGAGGTGTCAAGCAGGCCCCATCAGAGGGAGGAAACAGCACGGAGAAGCACAAGCATCACTTAACATAATTACAGGAAGCCTCACCTAGTCCTGCGCTCCCACCTGCAACATTTCAGAGCATGCTCTTTTGCTCCTTTCCAGAAAACCGTATGACCTCCTCTTGCCTGGCTTCTGGGGGATGCAGCGTGAGGCTGAGGGTTCCACTTCAGGAAATGTGGCAGAGCTCATGTGTCTGCTCAGGCCACTGCAGGTCCACGGGTGACCCTGGCACGGCAATCTGGTCCATCTCGTCCACTGCAGAGGCCAGCCAGGCTCTGGATGCTGGCCTTCATGCTGCCCATCTCAGCAGCCGAAAGTGGACCCACTCACTGCAAAGGCCACTGCTCTGTCTTCCACATTTCTCTTCTCCAGCAAAAGTCAGGCCACAGAGGAGCTTTCCTCACTCCCCTGAGGCTACAAACTCTGCAGGCCACAGAAAACAGCAGAGGAACGAGCCAGAAAACCAGCCGGCGAGGAGCTCTCTGTCCAGATGCAAGAGGAGACAGAGGACCCGGCTCTTGACCTGAAACTCGAAACTGTCATTGGGAATTACCACCCATGGCGATAATCCCAGCTGTCGCTGCGGGTGTGACAACCTGGTCCAGATCCCACCTGTTACTTTCAATCCAGGCTCAGGAACCAGGCCCAGCTCCTATCCTGCTTCCCCAGAGGGTGTGGGAGGAGGCAAGATTCACATGCCCGGCCTGCCTCCATGGACACAGCTGTTAGATGCCGGCTCAGGGAGCCAACTCAGCCACCTGCCAGCCCAGCCAAATGAGCAGGTCCTGATGAGGAATGTGAGAGGCTGCATTCTGAAAGCTCCTTCTGAAAAAAGTATGTTCTGAAGAGATTCAGCTCACAGACCGGGGCAGCATGGACACATCGCCATGCCACCACAATCGCCAGGAAAAGGCCTTCCAGAACTCCACGATCCTGGGAGAGATGTGGAACTAGAAAGGCTCGCAGAGGTATCTGACACCGGCTCTGAGCCTGGGACTTCTGGAAAATCCTCAGGTGGTAGAAAAACAGCTTGACTCAATCAGGTCACCCTGCCCAACACTCTTGCCTCCACAGCTACCCCATGCCAGGGCTGATTCGGATACTATTCAAGACACAGAATCTGCTCAGACTTCCCAGACAGGCCAGTAGAGAACGAGGCTATTTCCTGCTCCTTGCTTAACAGACAGACGCCAGCTGGCTGCCTAAGGTCACTGTCCAACCCTCTTTACCTCCAGTGCAGGCATCACCAGCCCCCCTGCAAAGGAGAGCAATAGACATTCAGTCACATCCCACATCAGGCTAGCATCAGGCACACAGCAGGCATCTAACAGGTGTCAGCCCCTTCTTGGTCCTCCTGAGGGGAACCCAGACCCGCTAACAAGCTGTACTCTGCCCGTGTGGCTCCTCCCTGGATGAAGTGCTTTGTAACTTGGCTTGTCAGTGTGCATTGCCCTGTTCTTGCCTGAATACCACCTGAGCTATGCTTTCCTCTTGGCTGGCAAGTGGAGACTGTACCAGGAAAGCCTGGGATGTTCAGAAGGTTGGGCTGGTCTATTAGGGCGACTAGATCCACACCAGGCGCTTTCACCTGTCAAGCCTCTTCCAAAGAGGCCTCATGAGTCAGCAACACAGCAGCGGGGCAGACAAACATCCCCTGGCGCCCTATACTGCTCAGCCACAGTGCAGCAGGGTGGAGATGAGGGTGCAGGTGGGGAGAAGGCAGCCATGAGATGCTGAGTCACCTGGGACCAGATGCCAAGGGTTTGAGGAACCTTGTGTTAAGAAAGCAGCAGCTCTTCGCCATGGAACAGAAACCACTTGGAGGCCACCTGGTTGGCTGGTATGAGGGAGGTGGCATCCAGAAGACCTCAGAGGTGGGTTAACAAGCCAGGCCTCCAGCCACCAGTCCCACCAGCCCCAGGAGAGTCAGCTGCCACCTGCAAGGTCCAAAAGCTTTGGGGATGTGGGGGTGGCACTCTGGGATGCCCCTTACAGCACACAGAATGAATCTTCACATTCCTCCAAAATTCCTATGTTGAAATCTAACCCCCAATGTGATGGTATTTAGGGGTAGTGCCTTGGAGAGGTGATTAGGTCAGGAGGATGGAACCCTTGTGAATGGGATTAGTACCCTTTTCAAACCCCAGAGACAGCCCCATCCTTTCCACACCAGGTGAGAACATAGCAAGAAGATGGCTATGAACCAGAAAGCGGGCCCTTGGCAGACACTGAACTCCTGCCTCCAGCACTGTGAGGAGTAAAGGTTTGTTGTTTAAACTACCCAGTTTATGGTATTTTTGTTATAGCAGCCTGAAGTGACTAAGACACCCCTCCCTGAAAAAATGTGACATGCACACCCTCATATTCCAAGTTCCCATGACTCACATGGGACATAAACATGTCCCTTCCTCTCTGCAGTCCCCATGTTACACTGTGGAACACATGGGCTTGGACATCTACGTCCTTCCCACCCAGTGGCCCAGTGGAAATATACATCTTCCCCTTAATCAGGGAGGCATTTAGCTGCTTACTCCTAACATTCTGTCCCAGAGGGCAGGGCAATAGCACTGCTGCTTTCAGGGAATTCAGAACCTGGAAAAGGCCCGGTGCTGTGGATCACACCTGTAATCCCAGCTCTCTGAGAGGCCAAGGCAGGCACATCATTTGAGGTCAGGAGCTGGAGACCAGCCTGGCCGACATGGTGAAACCCAGTTTCTTCTAAAAATACAAAAATTAGCCAGGTGTGGTGGCGGACACTGGTAATCCTGGCTACCTAGGAGGCTGAGGCAGGAGAATTGCTTGAACCCAGGAGGTGAAGGCTACAGTGAGCCAAGATTGTGCCACTACACTCCAGCCTGGGTGACAGAGCAAGACTCTGTTTCAAAAAAAAAACAATCTGGAGAAGACCCAAGAGGTGAAAATGGGAACTGGGTCACAGTCTCCAGTCCACTCTGGTTTCTCAAGAGTATGAGGGACCACGTGCAGCTGCAGAGTCAGGGGAGGAGGCTGACCTCGACTGACTGACTCCTCTGAGCATGGTAGGGCTCTGTTCACGCAACCCATGCCCCTCCACTCCCCAACTTTCCTGCAGGCTCTAGGTGGCCCTGGGTGTCTGGGGCCCAAAGCCCGTCCAGCACGTGGGCTTGGCCCTGGTCCCATGGCTCCGGCTCACACACACACCCCGACATCAGGGCCCACGACTGAGGAGTCTGAAGCTCATCGCTTTGCACAGCCCCTGGTGCTCACTGTGACCTTATCAGCCTGGGTGCTCTGGGTGCTCCATTCTGAGCCTCAGCTCATACCTTCCCCATCCAGATGGCCTCCCTGGGTCTTAGCCCTCTCAGTTCTTTACAGCCCACCATTCTGATAGCCCCATCCCCGCTGTGACTTAACCTGGTCACCCTCCTAGGCTGGGGGACATTCTCCCTGGTACTTTCTCCCACTCACCGTGTGTAGGGTCCTCCTCGACACGCCACCTACGCTACAGCCCACATTCAGGCACCAGTCTCCTCAAAACTTCTCATAAGCTCCTTAGGACAGGCTGGAGTCCGGTTCCTCCTCACACCACTCACCACCCAGAACCCAGGGACCATCTGTAGAATACACTTATTCAACACATGGGACCACCTCAGGGCTCAGATATAAATAAACAGATCAAGCAAACAACTTCATATTCACATAGCCACTGGTTCCTCAGACTTGGGAGCAACAGAGGTCAGGGTGGCCAAACTGGGTGCAGACACAGATCAAACACACAGGGTTGCAGAAAAGCACAACTCAAGGCAAGCTCCCCTCCTTCATTAGCTGATAGGACACATAATAGAATTTCCATTCGCTATCTCCAGAGAGTCCAGCTGCACACGGTCTCTGTAAAAACACCAGAAGAAAATGCTCATGCACACGCCATTAATGACCCCCGCAGAGGACTTGGCCTGGGGCTCATCACATCTGCGGGTGTACAGGCTGAGCTCATTTCTGAGTCACAAAACCTGAAAGTGATGTTTTTGGTCAGCAACCACCCGGAGAGACTCCCACACTCTATAGCACTCTGCCCACTGACGTGCCCTTGTCCCTGGCTGAATAGCTGATTCTCCATGGGCCCCCAGCTGGCCCATGAAACAGAGTCCATAAAGAAGCTGCGTATTTATTGACACTTGATTTATAACCAAAGCAGCAAATGCAGAAAACAAGAGTTTTCCAGCAATGGTGCTAGGTCAAATGTATATACAAAGGGGGCGAAAATAAATGCTGAGACCTATTTCACACCATATCAAATATAAAGTCCAAGGTTTTCTAACTATGATTTTAAATCTGAAATAGTAAAACAAAGACTTGATTGATCTGACTACATTAAAATTAAAATATTAAAAATAAAAAATCCTGGGCGGGCGCAGTGGCACACACCTGTAATCCCAGCACTTTGGAAGCCTGAGGCAGGCAGATCACGAGGTCAAGAGATCAAGACCATCCCGGCCAAGGTGGTGAGACCCTGTCTCTACTAAAAATACAAAAAATTAGCCAGGTGCGGTGGCAAGCGCCTGTAATCCCAGTACTCGGGAGGCATAGGCAGGAGAATCCCTTGAACCTGGGAGGTAGAGGCCAAGATCGTGCCACTGCACTCCAGAGTGAGACTCTGTCACACACACACACAAAAATCCTTTTAACTAAAAAAGTTAAAATGTTTTGCACAACCAAAAAACCATCATAAGTAGCATTGAAACACAAAAACTGTGAAAGTATATTTGCAGTATCTCACCAAAATGGTTAAGGTCCCTAATATGTACAGAATGCTTTAAAATTGAGGGGGAAAGACCAGAAAAAGAAAAATGAGCAAAATGAATGAATCACACAATCAGTTTACATACACACACACACACACACAGACACACAGACACACACACACAGACACACACACAGACACGCACACACACAGACACACACACAGACATGCACACAGACACACACACACAGACACGCACGCACACAGACACACACACACACAGACACACACACACAGACACACACACATACAGAAAATGGTTAACCTAACTCATAATGAGAGAAATGCAAATTGAGCAGCACTTGTCACTTATCAGATTGGTAAACACACTCATTTGGGAAGAATATGGGGAAACAGGCACCCTCCTTAGTTGTTGATGGGAATGCACCTTAACTTAAGCCTTATGAAAGGAACCATGCAATATCTAACGAAGCTACACATGTATTCACCTTTTGCCCAGCAACTTCACTTCTAGGAATTTAACCTTAAGATACACCTCCAGTAAGACAAATACATATGCACAAGGCTAATTATTCATTGCAGCATTCTTTTCTATTGCTAAATACTGGTCTGCCCTACATGCCTATATACACAGGAAAGCATATGCGGTACCTTCAGTGAATACAATGAGGTATTAAACAGCAATAAAAAATAAGAAAGACTGCTACAAATTGGTATGGAGAGAAATTTCTGGAGTACATTAAGTGAAAAGATTCAGAGTGCAAAAGAATGTATTCTGCCACCTTTTGCGTAAGAAAGGAGAAGTAAAAAAATGTATTTGCTCATTTATGCAAAAAGAAACATGAAAAGAATAAACAAAAGCTAAACCTCTGCGGTGGGTGGGTACCCAGTAAGAGAGAACGGGGGGAAAGGGAGGGGCACTCTTCTCAATATATCTTCTCATATGGTTCTGACTCATGGAGCCATGTTAGTGTTTCATATGCTGAAAAATAAACAAATAAATAAAATGTAAATAAAGATAGGAGAAGCCTAAAATGGAATAGGATAGAAACAAACAGATCTAACTATATTTCAAATGAACAACATAACCCAAGTATTTTGTCAACACAGTAGTATTTTGACCATAAATCCTCACACTCTCAAGCCAAAGACAAAGCGTATGCAAATATTAAACTTCAACTGATAAATTTGTTTCTCACAGCGGTACAGGTAATTCTAAAACTATTTTCTGTATATTATAGGGTGGAGAAAATAAGTAAATGTAGTAAATGTAGGTGGTAGAGGCCAGGTTTTTCAGTGTTGGATAAATGAATTACAATTATAGAATGTGGAAATGCTGTTATGAACCTTTTAAGTCAATAGAATTGGAAGTATCAGTGTGAACTCATACATTTAAATATATGGAGAAACAGGAAGAGAAATTGTCATAGGAGTGTGTGTGTGTGTGTGTGTGTGTGTGTGTGTGTGTGTGTGTGTGTCTGTCCCAGAAGCAATGAATGAACACATCTAACTTCTAGGTCTTGGTTTTAAGTACTATCCTCCGCTAAAAGGAACACGGTCTCCTTGAAGAAATGGCTGATTCTAGGGCTGAGCTGGAAAGGTACAAAAGTTATTGTGCTTGAAATTAAGGAAGTGCTCCAAGAGTAATAGGAAAATGTCAAAAGGACACAGGAGCCAGCCTGAAGGGGCTCCCAGTGGCCAAATAAGGGATAACCTAGGCATAAAACTAACTGATCTGAATAATTTGTAGCCCACTGAATAAGAATCTATGAATTACAATAAGAGAAAAAAACTCTTCCTTGTGGCAGAATGCCAACTAATACATGTAGAAGGAATAACAGAATTAGAAAATTGTCGTGTTGCAAAAATCACAGTAATAACTGATTTGGGATAGAACTATCAATAGATGCTAAAACCAGGGTGAAAAGTCTGGGGGAAAGAGGATAGACATACTGACAAAGTTTCAAAGTATCTCTGACAAGACACTTAATTAATTACAAGAGGAAGCACAGTATCCTGACAGTGGAGAAATCTAGCCTTCACTACCCTAACCAAAGGAAGTTAACACCCCCCACAACGGAAAAGATGGAAGTCACGTATTTCTATACTTCTGTGGTATTCCTGCCTAAAATGCATAACCCAAACTAACCATTAAGGACATACTACCAAACCCAAATCTGGAGGGCAGTCTATCAAATAACCGCCTTTCACTCTTTAGAAATGTCAAGGTCATAAAAGACAGAGTGAGAAACTATTCCAAATTTAAAGAAAATGAAAACCATAACAACTGAATGCAATACATGATCCTGGATTGGATCCTAGACTAGAAAACAATTTTTTTTCTCTTTTGCTATATCTGACATTAGTGCAATTGGTGAAATTTTATGAAAGGCAATACATTAGATACTAGCATCATATCAATGTTAATTTCCTGATTGTGCAATTTACTATGATTATAAAAAAGAATGCCCTTGTTTTTCTGGAAATATGCACTAAAATATTCAGCAGTAAAGGAGGATTATGTCTACAGTTCATGATCAAAGAGCTAAAGAAAAACTATGTGTGCATACATGTGTATATACAGGGAAATGATAATCATGACAGGTTAATGTGAGGAATCCTGGTAGAGTATACTGGAATTTTTTGTACTAGTCCTTCAATTTTTCGGTAGGTCTAAAATTATTTCAAAATAAAAAGCTCTTACATAATTATTTTCAGACAGATTGAGGATCTAAATATGAAATGTAGAAAAACACTTTTAGAAAAAAAGTAAATAGGGGCCAGACATGGTGGCTCACACCTACAATCCCAAGGCTTTGGGAGGGTGAGGCAGAAGGATCTCCTGCAATCAGGAGATTGAGACCAGCCTGGACAACATAGTGGACCTTGTTCCTACAAAAAGAATAAGAGCTTTTTTCGCAACAGATTTGCCGCCGGAACATAGGTGTCGTGAAAACTACCCCTAAAAGCCAAAATGGGAAAGGAAAAGACTCATATCAACATTGTCGTCATTGGACACGTAGATTCGGGCAAGTCCACCACTATTGGCCATCTAATCTACAAATGCGGTGGCATTGACAAAAGAACCATTGAAAAATTTGAAAAGGAGGCTGCTGAGATGGGAAAGGGCTCCTTCAAGTATGCCTGGGTCTTGGATAAACTGAAAGCCGAGCGTGAATGAGGTATCACCATTGATATCTCCTTGTGGAAATTCGAGATCAGCAAGTACTACGTGACTATCATTGATGCCCCAGGACATAGAGACTTCATCAAAAACATGATTACAGGGACATCTCAGGCTGACTGTGCTGTCCTGATTGTCGCTGCTGGTGTTGGTAAATTCGAAGCTGGTACCTCCAAGAACGGGCAAACCCGAGAGCATGCCCTCCTGGCTTACACACTAGGTGTGAAACAACTAATTGTTGGTGTTAACAAAATGGATTCCACTGAGCCACCCTACAGCCAGAAGAGATATGAGGAAATCGTTAAGGAAGTCAGCACTTACATTAAGAAAATCGGCTACAACCCTGACACAGTAGCATTTGTGCCAATTTCTGGCTGGAATGGTGACAACATGCTGGAGCCAAGTGCTAACATGCCTTGGTTCAAGGGTTGGAAAGTGACCCGTAAGGATGGCAATGCCAGCGGGACTACACTGCTTGAGGCTCTGGACTGCATCCTACCACCAACTCGTCCAACTGACAAGCCCTTGCGTCTGCCTCTCCAGGATGTCTATAAAATTGGTGGTATTGGTACTGTTCCTGTTGGTCGAGTGGAGACTGGTGTTCTCAAACCTGGTATGGTGGTCGTCTTTTCTCCAGTCAACGTTACAACTGAAGTGAAATCTGTTGAAATGCACCATGAAGCTTTGAGTGAAGCTCTTCCTGAGGACAATGTGGGCTTCAATGTCAAGAATGTGTCTGTCAAGGATGTTCGTCGTGGCAACGTTGCTGGTGACAGCAAGAACGACCCACCAATGGAAGCAGCTGGCTTCACTGCTCAGGTGATTATCCTGAACCATCCAGGCCAAATCAGTGCTGGCTATGCCCCTGTACTGGATTGCCACACGGCTCACATTGCATGCAAGTTTGCTGAGCTGAAGGAAAAGATTGATCGCCGTTCTGGCAAAAAGCTGGAAGATGGCCCTAAGTTCTTGAAGTCTGGTGATGCTGCCATCGTTGATATGGTTCCTGGCAAGCCCATGTGTGTTGAGAGCTTTTCAGACTACCCACCTCTCGGTTGCTTTGCTGTTCGTGATATGAGACAGACAGTTGCCATGGGTGTCATCAAAGCAGGGGACAAGAAGGCTGCTGGAGCTGGCAAGGTCACCAAGTCTGCCCAGAAAGCTCAGAAGGCTAAATGAATATTATCCCTAATACCTGCCACCTCAGTCTTAATCAGTGGTGGAGGAAGAACAGTCTCAGAACTGTTTGTTTCAATTGGCCATTTAAGTTTAGTAGTAAAAGACTGGTTAATGATAACAATGCATCGTAAAACCTTCAGGAGGAAAGGAGAATGTTTTGTGGACCACTTTGGTTTTCTTTTTTGCGTGTGACAGTTTTAAGTTATTAGTTTTTAAAATCAGTACTTTTTAATGGAAACAACTTGACCAAAAATTTGTCACAGAATTTTGAGACCCATTAAAAAAGTTTAATGAGGAAAAAAAAAAAAAAGAATAAGAAAAAATACAGGAAACTACTTCACTTGGCCTGGGGATAGGTTAAGATTTCTTAAAACACACACAAACACACACACACACACACCCCATAAAGAAAATATTAATAAATTGGGCTGCATTAAAATAAATAGCTGCTGTTCATGAAGATACCTGTAAGGGTATTATACCTTTATGAAGGGGAGGGGAGAGAAAGGAAGGGGAGGGAAGCAGGGGAATATCGTGCAGCATGTATAAATGATAAAGGGCTCACATCTAGAAAAGGTAAAGAACCACAAATCAGTGCAAAAAGACACTGTACCCTCTCATACCCACTAGAATGGTTATCATCAAAAAACAAAATAACAACTTTGTAGAGGACCTGAAAAAAACGAGAACCTTATGTACTGTTAATGGGAATGTAAATGGTGTAGCTGCTAGCGGTGAGAAACAATAGGCCGTTCCTTAAAGAATTAAAAATGGAGTTACCATATAATGTAGCAACTCTACCTATGGACATATACCCCCTCGAAATTGAAAGCAGGGCCCTGAAGAGATATTTGCACACTCATATTCATAGTAGTACTATCAGTAGTAGACAAAAGGTGGAAGCAACCCAAGTGTTCACTGACAGGCAAATGGTTAAACAAAACATGGCATATAAATACAATGGAATACCACTGAGCCTTAAAAATGGAAGGAATTCTGACGCAGGCTACAACACGGATGAACCTTGAAGACATGATGCCAAGTTAAATAAGCCAGTCACAAAACAAGTGGCCTATGATTCCATTTATATGAGATAGATAGAGCAGTGAAATTCATAGAGACAGAAAGTAGAATGGTGGTTGTCAGGTGTTGGAGAGAAGAGGGAATGGGGAGTTATATAATAGGTACAGAGACTCAGTTTAGCAAGATGGAAAATTCTGGAGATGGATGGTGATGATGGCTGCACAATGATGTAAATGTATTTAATGGCACTGAACCGCACACTCAAAAATGGTTAAGATGGCTGGGCACGGTGGCACACACCTGAAATCCCACCCTCACAGGAGAATTACTTGAGGCCACAGAGTTAGAGACCAGCCTGGGTAACGAAGCAAGACCCTGTCTCTTAAAAAAAAATTGTTTTAATTAGCCAGGTATGGTGGTGTGCACCTATAATCCCAGCTATTCAGGAGACTGAAGCCAGAAGACTGCTTGAGCCCAGGAGTTCAAGGCTACAGTAAGCTAGGATCATGCCATTGCACTCCAGCCTGGGCAGGCAACAGAGTGAGACTCCACCTCCTAAAAAAATAAAAATAAATAAAATGGAAAATAAAAAGGCCAAGGTGATGAATGCTATATGCAGTTTTCCACAATAAAAAAAAAAGCTGGAAAAAAAAGCCAACAGAAAAATGGGCAAGTGACTTGAACAGGCACTTCACAAAACAGGATCTAAATGACCACTGAGCACATAAAAATAATGTATAAAAAGGTATTCAATCTTACTGGCAACAATGCAAATTAATGCCACTCCTCCACCCCTTTATACATTCCTGAGTGCTTAACATAAAAGGAGTAACAATTTAAGTGCAAGAGAGGATGTGAAGTAACCAGGAATGTAAACTGGTAACCACTTAAAAAAATTATTTTCTTCTGAAGGCCAGGCCCGGTGGCTCAAGCCTGTAATCCCAGCACTTTGGGAGGCCGAGGTGGGTGGATCATGAGGTCAAGAGATTGAGACCTTCCTGGGGTCAACATAGTGAAACCCCATCTCTACTAAAAATACAAAAAATTAGCTGGGCATGGTGGCGCATGCCTGTAATCCCAGCTACTCAGGAGGCTGAGGCAGAATTGCCCAAACCCAGGAGGTGAAGGTTGTGGTGAGCCAAGATCATGCCATTGCACTCCAGCCTGGGTAACAAGAGTGAAACTCCATCTCAAAAAAAAAAAAAAATGGAGGAACGATCCAAGATGGCCGATCGCTAACATCCCGGGATTGCAGCTCTCAGGGAAGGCGCGGAGAACTAGAGGACGCCACACTTTCAGACAAAGTCTGGTCGCTCACGGAGCAGAAGATCCCCCAGTGGTGGAAACACACGAGTCGCCAGCGCGACTCTCGTGGTTGGCGCAGCGGTTCCACCGGCACCTCAGCGCAGCAGCGCTCAGCACAGAGTAAACGGGACCGGTTCCCCTTCTGACCGAGGTTTGGAGCCCCGGGAAGGCAGAGTCACCTACTACGGAAACAAGAAGGAAGCCCGACAGGAGAATCCTGGGCAGAAAAGCACCATCAGTTTTAACGCCGCTGCTCTGGCCCTGGGAACTAACAACCTGGACGTCCACTCAAGAGACCTAATCTGAAAGTTGGTAACTTCAAAGATGACAGGAGGATAAATTTACAATGACGGGAAGAAACCAGCGTAAAAAAGCTGAGAATACGCAAAGTCCGAACGCCTCTCCCTCTAAAGATGATCACAGTTCCACATCAACAATGGAACAAGGCTTGATGGAGAAAGAGCGCATCCTGATGACAGAATCACTCTTCAAGGAATGGATAATAACAAACTTTGGTGAGTTAAAAGAACATGTTGTAGCCCAACGTAAAGAAACTAGGAACTTTGAAAAAAGGTTTGATGAAATCCTATTGAGAATAGACAACTTAGAGAGGAGTATGAGTGAATTAATGGAACTGAAGAATACAATACAGGAACTCCGAGAAGTATGCACAGGTTTAAACACTCGAATTGTTCAAGCAGAAGAAGGGATATCAGAGGTCAAAGTCCAACTTAATGAAATAAAACGTGAAGAAAAGATTAGAGAAAAAAGGATAAAAAGGAATGAGCAAAGTCTCCAAGAAATGTGGGACTATGTGAAAAGACCAAATTTACGTTTGGTAGGTGTACCTGAATGCCACGGAGAGAATGAATCCAAGCTGGAAAATACCCTTCAGGATATTATTCAGGAAAATTTTCCTAAACTAGCAAAGCAGGTCAACATTCAACCCCAGGTAATACAGAGAACGCCACAAAGACATTCCTCAAGAAGAGCAACCCCAAGGCACATAATCGTTAGATTCAACCAGGGTTGAAACGAAGGAGAGGATACTAAGAGCAGCCAGAGAGAAAGGTCAGATAACCCACAAAGGCAAGCCTATCAGACTTACAGCAGATCTCTCAGCAGAAACTCTACAAGCCAGAAGAGAGTGGGGGCCAATATTCAACATCCTCAAAGAACAGAACCTTCAGCCCAGAACTTCATATCCAGCCAA